GTTGGGCCCGTTGCTTTACAGCATCTACACTTCCGACATTCCTCCCATCTGAGACGGTTGCGTGTTTTTCCTGTTCGCAGATGATACCACAATAGCCGTCAAAGGAAGGATGCCTCGCGAAATAACGAACAAACTTCAACGATGCCTTAACGCCTTTGCTAATTATGCCACCACGTGGAAAATTAAAATCAATCCCTCCAAAACACAAGCGATCATGTTCCTCCATCGGCAATCGCCCAAACTGAAACCGGCTCCATCTTGTACGCTGAACACTTGAGTCACTCAAGGATTCTCTGCTTGACCGTCAAGTAGTTCAGTTCAGTTCGAATTCCCTCTCGCCTTCTCGAGTTGTTCGGTTCCGTTCTTCATTTTTTCGTTTCGCGCTGTGGAAGTGCCGTCATCGTCACACGCTCTGGCAAGTTTGTTTCAACTTGCCAAAAACCAGATGGTGAGTCTAGCGCATTAGCAGTAGGGGGCCCTACGAAGAAGGGCCCGAACGCAGACCAGAGCGTCAATGAACGGAACAAAAATTATGTACTCTAGCCTGGAAGAGTACAAGGCTATTGGAAGTTTTCTTAAGGACAACAAGGTGGATTTTTACACGCAAGATTTGCCATCGCTGAAGCCACTGAAGGTAGTTTTGCGAGGTTTGCCGTTCTTCGAGGCGGCCATTGTGAAGGTAGAGCTGGAGCGGCTTGGTCTACAACCAGAGGCAGTGTATCCGATGAATGGGCGACCCTTATCGAACACCAGCTATTTCTGGTTCACTTTATCAAGGGCTCCACCACACTTGCCGGGCTGAAGGACAATATCCGGGATCTGTTCCAAGTCATCATCTCTTGGCAGTCGTACAGACCTCAACACCATGATGTAACGCAGTGCATGAACCGCCTATCTTACGGCCATGGCACGAAAAATTACCATATGAAGCCACGCTGTGACAAGTGTGGAGGTACCCACGCGACAGCGTCCTGTGGTCAAGTTGATGACAACGAGCCAAAGTGTGCCGACTGCGGTGGAAACCACCGTGACTGCCCAAAGAGCGGAATTCATTAATATTCGCCAAAAGGCGGCAACAGGTAACCAGACCGGTCGACATCGCAATAATCGTGCGTCCCCGGCCATCACTGATGCTCACTACCCTGCAATTCAGCCCCGACGACTGGTCCAGAACCTAGCACCGCTTCCCCTCAACAATCGACGAGCCCTTAGCACCCCCGCTGGGTATTCTCCAACAGAGCAAGCGGCCCCCAGCTGCCGATCAGCCCAGCATCGGCTCACTGCCCCTGGTTTATCGTATGCCAGTGCTGTGTCAGGTGAGTCCTTCGACGATTCCCCATTTACCTCGGAGGAACTTGTGACACTCGTGGCAGAGGTCATCATCATCCTGCGCACCTGCAATACCCGATCTGAACAGCTTTATGCTGCCCTGTTCCTTGTCACTAAGTATGGACCGTGAAGTTATAAAGATTGCAAATGGGAACGCTTGTTCGCTGAAGAACAAGCACATCGAACTGCATGACTACCTTAACCACAGAGAACAGACATCCAAGCTCAAACAAATTTTTCGAAAAATAATGTGTAAGAATTCAAATTAAAATACGTTAGAAACACTAGTACTGCCTTATGGAATGTTGCGACTCGCGTTGTCACTTGCAATTAATCAGTAAACTGAACTAAAATTTCGGTTGATTTAAATGAACTGTCAAATCAGTTCAAAACAAACAAGACAAAACAATGGAAATCAATCGAGTTGTGTGGTCAATGTGGTAAGATTTGAGCACTGCTTACCCCGCATCCGTTCTTCCAGGAATTCGAAAAGCTTGGACTCCACGTGAGAAGAAAATCTCCTGTAGTTCAGTCAATTCAACATCCTAAGAAAAATTGTGAAAAGATTTTCGCTTGGTATTTGCGCACCAATAAAACTCGCACTTGCGGCCCATGTTTTGATCGTTTTAATCAAACAATGTTTTGCTCACAACAATTTTGACATTTATGTTAAGATGACGTCTGCCGGTCATCGACGATGGGTAGCGACACTAGCGCCACCACGATATTGCTAGTTTCAAATGTCTATTGAAAATAGCAGTCAAATTTCTTACACACTTTAGGAATTTGACTTTGATGTCTGTTCTCTGTACTTTAACGTTAACAACGGAGATCGAAATTGCCATCATCACCGAAACCCATCTAAGGCCGGAAGTCAACATCTACCTATCGGACTTTCAGCTCTTGAGACTCGACAGAACCAGTGCAAGAGGAGGGGGGGGGTAGCCGTTGTTGTGAGGTGTAACATCAACTGCCACCTGCTGCCGTACTTTCAACTCAAAATTATCGAAGCCATCGGGGTTGAAGTTGGTACATCGCTTGGCCCCATCACCATCATTGCGGCTTACTGCCTCAAACAAGTCAACAACAGGGATGGGTCGGCAGCGGACCTTCGACGAGATATCATCAAGCTGACTCGCCGGTGGCAAAAATACATCATCGCTGGCGACCTAAATGCCAAACATCAAGCTTGGCGCAACAGTCGGCGCAATCAAATCGGCACCATCCAGAACAACGATCTGCAGGAAGTGCAGTGCAACATCTTGAGTCTGGACACCATCGATATCTACATCAGCAACATGGGCAACAACATTTCGCAACCTGTCGTGTATCAGGAACTCAGCTCGGACCACTATCCGGTGGGGGCTGAAGTGGATTCCTCAATCAACAAGTTCCAAGCATCACGGCGAAACTACCATCGGGTAGAATGGTCACAGTTCCAACACTGCACTGACACCAGTATCGACTATGACGTCCACCCGGAAACGACCGACGACATCGACCGGTGCTGGAATGGTCAAAAGAGGTAGTCTACCTCGGCTTAACACTAGACAGCAAGCTGATTTTTAGGGAACACGTTGACAAAATCAAAACCAAGTGTAACTTCTTGATAAGAGTTGGTTGGAAATGCTAACATGAAGCTTTAGTGTGATGATTTATTAGCTAGAGAATGATCTTTAGATGAGGATAGGTGGATAGTTCCGTTAGAGTACGGCAGTATGAAAATTGAATAGAAGTTGAAAATGAGCGAAGGGCCATTAATGCGACAGTTTTTAAAGATAGACGCACATTTTTGCCTAACCCGTACGATGTACGCGGAGACTTGAAGTATGTCTCCAAGTCTACAGGCAAAAATGTGCGTCCCTCTTTTTGCTCATAAACTGACTGCGGCTGTGTAATAGTTCTAGCGACGTTTTCATCACTACCTAAAGCCCCACGTTGCGAGAGCATTTCCAGTCGACGGTGTGTTATAATGCAGTTCTTCTTTACCCAACTATTGTGTTGCTTGATAAGACCACTGTATCCACTCATCAACATGAGGTCTACTCTATCCCTGAAAAATAAGCTTGCTGTCCAAAAACAAATCATCCTTCCTGTAATAGAATACGGATGCCAATCTGGGAGAGTTAACGAACGATTCCATCGGTTCCAGGGTGAAGTTCGATGATTCGAGCTGTTCTCCAGCGCATGGGAGGAGCATTCTCGTCCTTGATGATGACCAGTTATCCAGTTTCGATTGTGGTAGATGGATTTATCCACTTCGTTCGCGGCTGGAGAGTTGTCAAACATTCAGTGTGCCATCTCTGCCACAAATCTTGGAGGATTTTTTGAGTATGCTGAAAGTGACGAAGACGATTGTACAGAGCTGAAGAATAATCGAAGTCCGGCACAGCTTTCAAGACAGAACCAGTAAGAAAGTGACCGGGTGTGAGTGCCTCAAAATCGCTTGGATCGTCGCTGACTGGAACGATTGGCCTAGAATTTAGGCAGCATTCTACTTGCGCGAGAAGGGTTTCAGTGTCGTCGAAGGCCAAAGTGCGAGGTTCCAGTACTCGGAAAAAGTGTTTTTGTGCCGATGCAATTGCTGCTTCCTACAGTACGCCAAAGTGTGATGCTTGCGGCGGATTGAAATGCCATTTGATAATTTGATCCCGTTTTTCGTGCATTCTTCGGTGACTGCAGCTTTGTGATCTTGACTGCGAAGTAAGTGACGTAATTCGTTGGCAGCTTCTACGAAATTTCGTCCATTGTCGCTGTAGATTTCGGAACAGAGACCTCACCGGGAGACGAATCGTCACAAGGCTTGAATGAACTTCGCTGTGCTCAAGTCAACCACCAGTTCCAGATGCCCGGCTTTTGTACAGAAGCACACGAAATCTGCCACATATGCCTTTCTCGGTGCTGCTCGCGATGATGTGGTTGTATTTGGATGAGCCCCCAGTAGTCGATACCGGTTACGGTGAAAATTGCTCTATCATTTTAGGACGGTTCCGGAAGCAAACGACGCAGCTATGAACCATCCGCTTGACAAGATCCCTGGCCCCTATGATCCAATACCGGAGACGAAGAAGCGTGAGAAGAAGTTGTGGCGCTGCGTGAAGATGACGAAGATGGAAGGATCTTACCAGTAGCGAAGAGAATGCGTGTGACGCTGGCAGGATGATGGGATGCTTGTTGTCGAACGAAAGTTGCTAGTTGCTTAGTCGTCCGCCGATTCGAAGGACTTGATTGTCGTCGAGAAAAGGATGAAATCATCGAAGACGAGATTTCGCTGGTACAGATTGCCGTTGTAGTAGTTGTTGTCGTTCGCTGCCAAAACTAGCTTGGTTAGCGTTGATTCCGCCTTGATGAGATCCTCCGTGGTGAGAAAAGAACTTGCCTGACGCTTAGTGGTTTTAAGCCGACAGTTTTGCAGAAACCGAAGACAGCATGCCGTAATACGTAGCATGCGTGCGTAGTTGGAGATCTTTCCGACGTGCTCATCGATGAATGACGGTTCTTCGGCAGCTATACTAGCAGTGATGAGCGACTTCTTGGTTTCTCGAAGAGCTTCTTCGGGCTTATTAGGGTTAGATTTCGTTGATATTGGCCATACGGTAGGGTCACGTTGTAGCCAGTCCGGACCGTTCCACCAGAGACTGCTTTTGATGATATTATCTGCTGTCATTCCCCTAGAGATGAGATCCGTTGGATTCTGTATCCCAGCGACGTGATCCCACGAGCAGTTTTCGGTAGCAAGCTGGATCTTGGATACTCGGTTCACCACGAATGTTGAAATCGACCCAGAAAAAGGTGTCCCCTGTCAGTTGAAGAGATTTCATTACCTTCTCGTAGAGTTCAGCGCGAACGAGTGCTCCGCACAGTTCGAGTCGTGGAATGCTCTGCTTCTTGATTGGAGCGACTTTCGATTTGGAGGTCAGGAGTGCTACCTTGACGCAACCATTGGAGTTCGTTGATCGAATGTAGACACACGCACCGTATGCGTGATCGGAGGCGTCGGTGAAGATGTGGATTTGCAGTGACGTTGGTGAAGGGAATAGAACGCAGCGCTGCACACGAAGTTCATGGAGGCAAGGAAGTTGTGACTGGTACGATTCCCAACGAGTCTTGAATGCTGATGGAAGTTCTTCATCTCAGCTCCATGCCTTTCCTTCGTCATCCACAAGTGTCCAAATCGCCTGCATGAAGATTTTCGCTGTAGTTACCACCGGTCCACCTAGTCCTAGTGGGTCGAATAAGCGTGCTATATGCGAGAGTGCTATGCGTTTCGTCAGAGATTCGTTAGTGGAGGTCGGAGGAAGTTGAGTCTTGTAGCGGAGAACGTCGGTGGCTGGCTCCCAGTGTAGCCTTAGTCTTTTGATGCATTGATCGCTGTCGAGGTCGACCGATGACTTGAGAGCCCTGTTCTCGGCCGGGACGTCTTCTACTACCGCTGGTTCATTTGATGCCCATTGTCGTAGTTCGAATCCTCCTCTTTTGAGAAGAGATTCTAATTGCCTTCGTAGAGTGATTGCTTCTTCTATCGTGTTCGCTTCGGAAAACAGGTCGTCGACGTAAAAGTCCTTACGAAGAACGTTGACAGCTTCGGGTAAATCTGTTTGCTCGTCATCAGCCAATTGTTGCAGCACTCGTGTAGCAAGAAACGGAGCACTGGCGGTACCGTAAGTAACGGTTTGCAGCTCGTATGTTTGTAGAGGGGCTTCTGGTGATGAACTCCACACGATATGCTGCAGGTTGTTGCTTCGTTGATCCATCAAAATCTGCCGGTACATTTGTTTTAAATTTGCGTTGAGCAGGACCGGGTGGATTCTGGATCGTAAAGTGAGCGTTCGGAGGTTTTCCTGTACGGTGGGTCCGATCATTAGTGCGTCATTCAAGGATGGTCCATTCGGTGTACGGCACGACGCGTTGAAGACCACGCGTACCTTCGTGGTGATGCTGTCCTCTCGTATTACGGCATGATGGGGAATATGGTAAGAAGGATGTTGCGGTTTCTGGTAATCTTTCACAAGTTCCATGTGGCCTAGCTGTTGGTACTTGGCTATGAAATCTCGGTACTGTTTTCAGAGTTCATCGTTTCGAGCTAGCTGACCGTGCAGAAGATGAAAGCGACGAATAGCTGTGCGACAATTGTCGCCGAGGTTGGCGAGAATATCTTCCTTCAAAGGAAAAGAAACGATGTAACGGCCTTCGGGAGTTCGAGAGACCGTTCGAGAAAAGTGCTCTTCACACGCTTTTTCCTCCACCGAGTATTTAGGGCTTGAGCTGTCTTCTTCGATGGACCTGAATTTCTCCATTAGGGTATTCAAATCAGCAACAACAGCGACGTTGGCAACGATCGGAGTGCTTGACGGAAACTGGGTGTGCTTCCCAGAGACAACCCAGCCGAAGACGGAATTGATGAGCGTTGGCAGACCAGGGCCAAGTTAAATTCTACCCGAGACATTGAAAAATTCAAAGAAGATTCCCGCTCCTAGAATGAGATCTATTGGGCTTTTTTGGCAGAAAGCAGGATCAGCTAGTTGAATGCAATGCGGAATATTCCAAGAGGACGCGTCAATTGCAACTGAGGGCAAATTGATTGCCACCTTCGGTAGCACAAGAAGTTCAACCGTGGTGGAATAGTCGCAGACGCGAGAGCGGATTTCAGAGGAACTTGAAGCGTGATTCCGTGGAAGATTGTCCAATTCCGGAGATAGGAAGGTGGATGGATCCGTTTGCGTTGGGCCTTGAGGAGTTTCAAAAACGATTAAGTAGCGAAGCAACATTCACTGTCGGAGTCTAGCAGGGCTCTAGCAGCATGCTCCTTCCCGTTGTTGTCGAGTACGATGACTATGGCGGTAGCAAAGAGTACACTTTTTCGTCCACGTCCAGCGGAAGCGCAGCTGGCATGCTCATCAAGGGTTGCTGATACAGAAACTGATGTTTGTTCGGAGATTGTTGGCTTGAATTATCCTTCGGATGAAGCGAGTCAATCACTTTCGAGCTAGTTGCAGCGGAACCTTGGCAAAGCTGAGTAAGATGGTGACCTCTACATTTGCGACAAGTGCTCGAAGAAGGACATTCCTTGGCCATATGCACCTTACGCAGACAGTTACGGCACAATTGGTGACGACGAACTTCTCTCTCCTTCTCATCAGCGCTCAATTTGGAAAACACCATACATTGGTACGGAGGGTGATGATCTGAGCAAGCAACACACTTTCGTTGGTTGGTTGTACTTGCTCCGTGACTGGAAACCACTCGTTGAACCGGTTTCTTGGGGAAGTTGATCGGTGACGGAGTTTCGGTGGTCTTTCCGATGGTTTGAAGAACCGAAACTCGGCGTTGAATGAAAGTCGTCAGATTCTGGAACGATACAGCGTTGAGTGTCGATGCGTGTTCTTCCCAATCTCTCCGGGTAGTGGGATCTAAACGGATACTCAACAAGCGGATCAGCAGAATGTCCCAGTATTCCGTTTTCTCCCCGACCTGCTGAAGGACTTTCACGTTGGCTTCGAACTTTTCGACTAGCGAGTGAAGCTCCAAAGCAGACTCCTTTTTTGACGGAGGGAAATTCGAACAGCGAGTCGACGTATGACTGCTTTAGGCGTACAGGGTTTTGGTAGTGGTCCAATAGCAGATTCCAGGCGACCTGGTAATTGTTGGCACTAATAGCGATGGTTTGCACGAGCTTCAAAGCATCCCCAGAGAGCGACGAGCGAAGATAATAAAATTTCTGGATGTTCGACAGTTCATGCGACGAGTGGACCAACGAAACGAAAAGGTCGTGAAAGTTCAACCATTGGTAGAGATTTCCGGCGAAAACTGGCAGTTTTATGTCGGGCAACCTTACATGTGACGAAAGAGGACTTTGCGTTGGTAAAGAAGAAGAAGACGAAGAAGTGCATGGCGACGTAGATTCAATTCTACCCTGAAGTAGGACGTCTCGAATTCGATACGTTCCTTTAAGTGAGTCTCGATGGCCGCTTCATCCAGCGTTTCGAGTTCGGCTTGCATGGCGTTAAAATCATTCCAGGTGGCCACAAGGTGCTCCAACTGGATGACAACCTCGCGTGCACCAGTTTCCTCCTGGAAGCCATCGACGAACGCCTTGATGAGTCCGAACGATCGTTGGGCATCGTGCAACAAGGAACGAGTCGAATGGGTGCGCAGGATCTTATTTAAGGCAAAACTATGCCTTGTATATTTATCCAATCGTTGCTAGGAGTACAAGAACCTAGATGTAGAGCGGGTAGCCTCAATCTGGCCGGGCACGTGGTAAATACCTCCAGTAGGGCAGGTCGAAGGACCAATTTTGTCGGTAGCACAAAGATGAGCAGCTGGTTATTCAGCAGAGCGCAGGTAAGTTTGGTTTCCCTTTTTTCTTTTCAGGTTCCAGATGCAAGTAAGTCCAAATAACATCCACTAACACTTCTTCTTCTAAATTAATCACTACTTTATTTACTTTAATTTAAGTTCAACATGCAAGTTCACTTTTTATTTAATGCTAAATTCTCTACCACTACTTTTCTCTTATATAAATTTCTTCACTGTTCTGTTTACATTTTACACCGATGACGTTTCAGGAAGCAAGAGAGCACCTCAACGACGAATCGAGCTTTTTATATCCAAGGGGTGATCTGAAGTTCTTTTTCCACCATGTTGCCATTTCCGAAGGGCCGTTAACGTCATCTTTCAACGGTTGTCGGAGATGGTCGGCCTATCGATGTTCGAGGAGATCAGCGATGTCCACGTTGCAGGTTGACTTGTAGGTGGCTCTGCGATGATCTTTCGTGACGAAGAATTATGATGCACGAACAGTATCAAAAAAAAAACTATCCACCAAGAGTACCCAGTCGTATCTCAAAAAGTGCAAGCTTTAAGACATATTTTAGAATCCTGTTGCCCAGAACCGAAACACATTTCAAGATTACGTCATTGTAGAGCCAGAATTATTAGGACGAACGTAATAACAAGAGCACAACAGTGGGTTAGAAACGAACTGATTGCGGAAATAGAGGGTTTATTAGATCTATATGGAAATCCAGACGGCAGAAGAAGCAGCCTTCCTCCAACCAGCTTGAGACTTAGTTGCTCATAAGGTGGGGTACAAGGATTGAAGAAAAGAGTAGATCGTGACCCAGACCTGAATTTCCCAGAACCATTTCCAAGCTTTTCTGAACAAGAATGGTTGGAAACCGCTACGGGACCAATACCACGTCGCTCGGAAAACGCTGATGAATGGCCGAGAATTCAAAATTCTCGAAGGGAGCACTACCCATTACTTCAGCATCGTAATTCGCTGACTTATTTTAACGAGCAGGCCCAAGTGGTAGATCAGTGGAAAACAGAAATAAATCGCTACATCCAAGAAACACTACCTGTTATTTTCGTCACTTTAACTGCCTGGTATGTCTCACTGTCTGACCGTTAATTTTATTCGTTGACTTATACTTTCAACGTGTACTTTCCCTACTTGCAACCTTTCTATTTGTCTACTATATCCTATGTTCACCGTGTTCACTGTTTGGTGGTTGGAAAGCTTTTCGAGAACGCATTTGGGACAATCATGGCTCTACCCTCTAGGGAGCTACAATACCCGAGGACATTCGTTGGTTCGGCTCGGACTCGGACGTATTTTTCCGGTGGACTAAACAAACTCCCATTTTTAATCTGTTTGACAGATCTGCCCTAAGTTACCAACCGCAACTGAACTCAGTGACCAAGAACGGTTTTTTTAAATAAGTGATGTCAGATTATATACATATATAGGATAGGCGGGCTACTTTTGTAACCTCGTTACAATAGTATATCGCTGATTGATACCGTCATCCTGACTGTGATTTTCATAAATTAAAGGACTTGGAGACCAAATGTAGGTACATTGAATAGCTTAAAGCTGTAAGTTTATTCAGGAAAAGTTAATTAATCCAGTTACAATAAAAACTGGATTAATTAACTTTTCCTGAATAAACTTACAGCTTTAAGCTCGCTATACAAACCTATCATTGCGTGCTGCAAAGAGAGTCCGACATAGATTCCGGAATGCATGTAATGCAATTTTCGGATTGTGGATGATTTGGGGAACCAAGATTTTTAAGATGGGAGCTATCGGAATTTATGTAGCATGGTCATTTCTGTAAAGTGGCTGTCTGTTCCGTCGATTTTGATCCTACGTATGTTCAGCTTATTGACATCGAAAAGCATACGGTTTTCAGTGGTACTCGTTCTATATACGAAATAGGAAACCCACAGTTTCTCCGCCCACATGAGCGGTAAAAAAAATTGATAAAGCAACAACTCTAACTGTCAAATTTAACGCTATTTAGATAACTACAACAGATAGTGGTCAAAGCACCCGAGACCAGGCCAGGTCATCTACACCCGATAGCCTACCGTTTCCCAATCGAGACTGTATCTACTACCCTGGGTGTCGGAATCCTTTTGCCCTCAATCTCTCGAAAACCACCGAGAGATCCAAAATGAAAAAAAAGGCATCAGACAATCAAAGACACCGCACCACCACTGGCCGTCACTCGAAACCCCTATACACCTCCTGCGTCGCTGTTCTTCCACTATCAAATCATAAGCGGCAAAAGACAGGAACCCTGTTGTCGGCCACAGTCCCAAAGGCCCCATGCTGTGAAAATTTGTATTTTAAAGTCATCACACCTTTTATTACGGATGAAATATATGTGTTTTTGGCCATTTTCACCCCTCGCGCCCTGCGTTCGTTGTTGTCGTCGTCGTCGTCGTCGGTTGCATTTGTTATATTCCAGTTTTGGACGAAAATCAATTCGGATAGATCGTGCGCTCTTTGGATTTCCGATAGGGAGGCTGCTTCTGCTGATTTCTTCTCTCTCCCGTTCTCGGTCGTGGGGTTTGAACCGTCGGTGGGAGAAACCAGCAGAATATGAAATCAGAAAACCAATAATAAAGCGCGGCATTTCGTTTTCGAACCGAAGACGTAACTCGAACAGGTTGCGGATCAAGAAAGGGGTAGCCCCCCTCCCTTGCGGAGAAGAAAAGACTTGAG